CAAAATCGGGCGGAATGTTGGCGAAGACACAGATGTCGTCGAACTGGATGTCAGTCATACTTCTGTCCACATTTGTCACCATAATTGTGTCGTAGATCTCTGTGCCGATCTTCAGCAGACAAAACACAGCGAACCGCCGGTAATCGCCTTTGTTTTTGAAGTGATCCGAGTCTTTCCATATCAATGGCATTCGGATATCTGTTTTGGACAGACATTCAAATAAATGGATGAGACAATTAAAGTTATAAATAATATTAATTGAAATAAATTCACTATGAATTAGTGCTAAATTATAACTACTTGTGTCCACAAATTATAGTTAATTATTGAGATTAAGCCCTAAATCTATTTTTAATACAAGCTAGCGTAATATTATACTGCGGTTATAAATTATATAAATTTTACTATGCCCAATAATAAAATTAATTAAATAGAACAAAAAACTTGTAGCTAGGTTTAATATTGTTAATAAATTTACTCTCAAATAAAACAATCTGAGTTAGTTTACCAGTTTTATAAATATGTTTCAGCTCCTATTTATAATATTTATAATAATAACTCTAAGTGAATACAATGTGAGACAGTGTGATGGTGAGTTAAAGTAATCCATCACATTTTATTCATTAGTATGCAAATAATTTTGATTTAAATAAAAATAAACAAAGTTTTAAAAACTTTTCATTAAGTCCTATGTATTGGAAGATCTATTTTCTCTTCCGTTTCGCTTAGTCTGAGATTTTCCCTCATTTTTCTCATTCATAAGTTTTTTCTGATATTTAAGCGATTTTTTGTTCCCAGAGTTTGCGATAAAAATAAAACAAAACCCAACGAAACCATAGACCCTAACCTCTAGTTTTTTAAGTACTTGTTTTTCTTTCAGTTAATCTCTCTCTTCATAGACACGATAACAACGAAAACTTTTTGCTTAGTTCTCATGCAATGGACTGACAATCGGAACAAATGGTCAAAACAGTATAGAAAATCATAAGCAAATTACTATTTTTTGTGCTAGACTTTAAATATAATGTCATTTGTTTTTTGTTGCTTGTTTTGTTGCCTAATGAATTATGTTCCCCACCAATAACTCAATACAAGTAGTTGTTTATTGATCTCATAATTCTTATGTGAAATATTTTCATCCATTTATTATCAGCCAAATACGGCAACAACGCCTCTCTCTCTCTCTCTCTCTCTCTCTTTCTCTCTCTCTTTCTAACAAAAATAATATCAGATATAAAATTCCGATATTTGTATTAATTGAGGAAATCACTGATATATCTCACTATTATTCACAAACACTACTGAAATACAAACAAAAATTTCCAAAAGGCATGAAAACCCAATGATTTTCCATTTATTATTTAGAAAAACTGAATAAAAGAAACTCTTTCAGCAAAATTTATTTTTGAAATATTTTTAAAAAACTAATCCGGAAGTCATATCAAGAATAAAACCAGATATAAAAACCTACATTTGGTTGCGTTATGAAAGTTTTTGTATGATTTCATATAGATTTGAGCCTTAATAATCTGTTATCTACTCGTGTGTTAGTCACCTGTTTTGGCTTTAGTGTTGTGTAAACAATACTTTATTTTCTGTGTGATTTGCGTACTTAATTAAGGACATTAACACAACTAAAAAACGCCAAAATTAAGGGTTTTTGTTTTGTTAATAAAGTGTATACAGAAATTTAGAGTTATATAATAGAGTATCTGTTTCTCTGGTATTGTTTGGGTATTTGTATAGAAATCTTAGAAATGTAAACCTTACTGACAAATAAATATTCTGTGGTTTACATGAATGACATTTCAAAAGCATATAATTGCCATCAAATCAATGAATTCCATCGGAATTCAAGCTGTCATTCAAACGGTAAGAAAACTAATAATTTAACAAACATTTCAGTAAACCTTCAGATTTTGTATGGAAAATAATTGGATTTAATAAATAGTGGAAACAAATAGCTTTGCATTAATAGGCGTACAGAAAACATATGATTGCATAAATAAAAACAACATTTTAAAATGACATTCTCGTAAGAATTTGGATTAATTTAATTCATAAACAATAATAATATACAGAAAATAACAACAACTCACCAGAGACTGAAACTTTTGCTTTTCCGCCGTCGCCTTTAGGGTTCAAATATTTCCTATTTTGTGAAAAAAATCAAACATTTTTCAGTAAATTATTATTTTTGGAGTAATTTGTGGGCAATTTTGTTCTCAATTTCTCTTATTTCATGATTTCATATCATTTATTCTTTCGATTATTAGTTGATTT